CACACACACACACACCTGTCCATTCATTGCATGCCTGTTGGTCATTGTGCATCCACTCAGTATCTGCCATTTATTGTGCTACTAAAGAATACACTCGTAACAAATTTGCCTTTAACCTGTACAGGGTTGTCATTTTTGAAGCGGCACGATCAAACAGAAGACTTGTGGAGATGGAAGGGAGGCTTTGTTTGCAGAAGCAAATAACAGAGCTAACTTTCAACTAGACACAAACATGACTGAGCGGATTGCCCAACGTGGAGGAACCTTGCTTTCCAGACTGTCACAACAAGTGATCGTGCGCAAATGCTTTCGCGAATCCTGGCTTGAGCGTCTCGCTTTCCTTCTTCTTTGGCCATTTTAACAATGACCTTAAACAGGATTCACTCTCAACAGTCTTACATTACCTGCCCAGTAGGTCATCTCAATGGTTGAAACGCTGATTTTTGTAAGACAGGGCTTTTTCCATTATTAAACAAGGGTCAGCAATTTGTTATATAGCACACTATAGCAGAATAAATTCAAGAGATCAGGATACTACCTTTGCTACAATTTCCCTGGAGGCTAATTGTGGCCATTAGCACTAAGCTGACATGAATGTGATAGTTCTATTGAATACTGATAGCATGTTGTATGTATACCTTTCAATTAATGCTAACATATTTCAAATTGTTCTGTATACATGTATACAAGACCAGGACTTGTTGTCAGTTAAGAGGCCTCTGCTTGGCAGGGTTCATCTAAACTGGTGGCTTTCAAACCAGGGTCACCAGATGTTCTTGGACTGTGAATCCCAGAAGCCTTCACCACTTGCTGTGCTGGCCAGAATTTCTGGGACCTGGAGTCCAAGAATATCTGAGGACTGCAGTCTGAGAACCATGGTCTGTATATTGTCAACTTATAGGTACAAATATAATTACTAGAAATAGCAATTATATTTGCAAGTGGATTCTTTCAGTTCAAATGGTTTAGGACCTCGATATCTGGCAGAGCGCCTTCTCCCACCCAGTTCTGCCAGAGTCACTCATTCCGGCCAGGCCGAGCAGCTGAGGGGCCTAATGCTGAGGAAGGTCCAGAAGGAAAGAACGAGGAACCGGGCCTTCTCAGCAGTGGCCCCTCACCTTTGGAACAACTTGCCAGTGGAGATCCACCTGGCTCCCTCTCTGGGTGTCTTCAGAAATAAACTTAAAACTTGGCTCTTTGGGCAGGCTTTCCCTACTGCTGTATCTTAATCTAAATTAGTTAAACTTCGTCATCTTGGACTTTTTGGTTTTATTGTTTTTAAATTTCTAAACCACCCAGAGTAGACCCTTGGTCTAGATGGGTGGGATAAAAACCTAATAAATAAATAAATACATTTTATATTCTTTGGTGCAAAGCCACACATGCTGGTTAAGTAGGGTTCTTATTGTTGCTGCTACCATTGTTTATAATCAGTTACGAAGATTTGAAAAGGACATTCTCCGAAAAGGACTGGGTTCTAATCTAGCAGACAAGACACAAAATAAAAAAGGGAAGGGAAGAAACGGAAAGAGGAAAGCAGGTAAACCAAAGCACCAGTCATTAAAGTTATACACTTGTGTCGCCTCACCCCTGTATAATTCTTGTTGCCTGCTCTTGAAGGGCCATAAAGCTAAACAGCAGGGCAGATACATAAACTGCTCTCAACGGCCCATAATAGAAGCCCTGAATTCTGTTTTTTAGGAATGTTTCTGATTTTAAAAGAATGTTTTTGTCTATTATGTTGTGCATCTCTTTGAGAGTCCTGGTAGGCAGAAAAGTGATAGATATGTTTAATAAATAATAATGATACATAATAGATGGACTCATGGTCTTTGTAAAGGGAGCAGTTTTCAGTGATCACATCACAAAGTAAACCCATTTGGGGTGCAAACCAGAAAGCATTGAGTTGGTGTAGCCAAACAATGTCCGACTCCTTTAGTGAGCAGCAACTAGAATAGGCCCAATGAATCAATGGAACTTATGGAAGAGTTGACTCACCAAATGCCCATCGATTGAAAAGGCTTATTCTAG